ACAGTGATACTTATTTTCCAGGTTCCTTGGGGTTCTCTGAGCTTGGTTGTTTTCTTGCAAACGTTTCGTTATCTGGCTAGGTAACATCTTAACGAAATGGGTAACGAAACGTTTCCAAGAAAACAACCAAGCTCAGAGAACCCCAAGGACTCTACAGTTCAACCCTGAGCTACACACATTCGCTTCTATTAGAAAAAACATTGGCACTTCTATTACCTGTATTTTCAATGAGCAATCTAATACAGTGTGTTTGGATGTGGGGGAACACAAGGCTATGCTACATTAAATATTAACTATCATAATTAAGTGTCTGCATAGAGGTTGTATGGTTTGCATGGCATTAGATTGTAAATACGTAACAGTAATGAGCACCTTAGGAATGTAAGTATAAAATCTGACAAGAGCTAGTATATTCTGCTTCCACTTAAGGACCATGAAATTCATTATTTAAAGTATCAAAGCATTCATATTGTTCTCACAGGAGCACCGTAAGTTAAGTCCACACTGTTCGATCCCATGTCATAGGCAGAATCAAAGGAGATGACTAGCAGTTCAGCTAAGACCAATTATAATGTGGGGACTGATTGTGCCAGATATGAAAAATAGGTAGATAAGGCTGAAGCAAACTTTTTAAATGAAAGGCTACTGCATTGGTGGAAAAAGCTGAACCTTTGTTTCTAGCCTCTGGAGTGTGCCTATGTATTTGTTTACTTCTGTAAACAGTACTTTATGAGGATCAGAAACTAATCTTGAAAAATCTTAGCATTTGATTGACAGAATAGCAGTGAGGCAAATTTATGCCATGCACTCCTCTAGTTAATTAAACAATGATATATGGTCCTAGAAAGAGAGCAGGCTTACCTAGAGGGCAGCATTATGGATGAATAGAATGGAATTTAACAAGGAAAAATGCATCTGATAAGAAAAATAAAAAGCATCAATATAGGATGGGGAGACCTGGTTAGGCAGTAATACATATGAAAAGGAACTGGATGCCCTTGTTGACTACAAGTTAAAAATGAGCAAATAGTGTGATACAGGTACTTAAAAAGCAGGTTCTATCTTGTGGTGGATTAACAGGCTCATAAAGTCCAGATCATGGGAATTGTTCTACTTTACCCTGTCCATTTAAAAAGAACAATAATAAATTGGAGCAAGTTCAGAGGAAGGCTACCAAGATGGCAAGGGTTCTGGAAACCAAGCCCTACTAGGAATACTAAAAAGACTGGGATATGTTTAGTTTACAGACAAGGGAGCTATAATAGCAGTCTTGGAACATCTGAGGACACAACCCGATGATTCGGCCCTTTTTCCCCTCCATGGGTAATAGACTAGTCCCCAAAACATAAAGAAATCAAACACTAAATAAAAGGGTCTGTATAAAGCATAAAGGCTCTGGCTGATTTCAGGTATTAAAATGCAAACATTCAATAATGAAGAGGATAAATTCTACAGTTGGAGTATCTGTTCAATTTTTCTGGAGTACCTATTTTGTGGAAATTTCAAACTTTAATCAGAAAAGATGGAAAGCCCCACTCTTTTCCAGTCTCAGACTATAACTTTTCTAGAATTCTGTCCCTAGTTTCAAAAATGATCGTTTTTCTTTTTCCAGAAAAAGGAGAGAAGTGACCTTGTACATGACTGACGTCCATGTCTCACTTGAGGAAAAATGAATTGGGAATACAGTCGGCAGGAAAACCTGTATTCTGTTTAAATTCTGCCCACAGCATAGGAACAACTTTTACAACAGATACAGTCAACTGACTTTTTAATCATTAAGTTCACCTTTACTTTCCCAGAAATATAAATAACTTCCACTTTTTATTTTAATTGATTGTTTGAATTAATTCTACCATTTATATGTAAGATGATGGTGCAACGTAAGTCAGGATTTATGCATCTTACCAGCTGAAGACCAGTAGGTTAAAAGAGCATTCAGCAAGATGCCCATGAACAAAAATATTTGAAAGGGACTTTTGACTCAGATTGTTTGCTGTATGTGCTGTGTACTGGGAAAGAATATAATACTTCTTCTAAAGCAATTACATGCAAAATAGATTTGTTTCAATTTTTAAATAGGCTCAAATCACATTCTAATATGAACTGACCTCACTCATATTTCTCAAACTAGAATGAGAAGCAGAACATAATTATACTTCTCTAAATTGTGTGATGTATTTCTCCAATTAAAAACTATGTACAAAAATTCAGGAATTAGAAAATTGTGTACTATGAAAATTCATATGTGTATGTACGTATGTACAAAAGCCATGTAAAAAAGCATGCGGACACTTAATTAGTACGCAATTAATTTTTGTTTCAAAAAAATGAAATCCTATAGAAAATGAACCAGTCAAATTTGTTCAGACATACAATCAGGTCCCTCACCTTGACAGAAAATCACTTTTATGATGCTTCTGTCATATTAATGACAGTAGGTCAAAATCTGTGCGGTGTCATGATCCAAGCCCCACTCCTTTTGTATGTACATCAACCTCACACACATGTAAAAAGGATGGGGGCTGGACAACAATTCCAAATCCACCATCTTTCAGATTTTGCCTTCCTACATGAGGCAATGTATTCATGACCTTCAAAGCCAATAGACTCCTTTCCTCCAGGTGGCCCCATATGAGGCAGCTGACAATCTGATGGAACTACCTTTTTCCTAGATAACACCTACTCTGCTTTTATAAGGATCACAAAAAGTAAATGCATCAGCACAAACTGGAATACCACTCAGTTTGGCATTCTCGCAAAGAAACAACAATTGTACCTCAAACATCAAAAAAACAATTCAACTCATTGCTTGCATTTAGCCTTAGAATAACAAGTTAGGGACTGCACCCCCCTTGGGAAAAAAAAAGAAGGTAGGGTAAGGATGAAGAATTAGGTAAGACAGGGACTAAAACTACTGTATATATGTTTAATTTACATTTAGTATCTATATTTCCATGTATTTAATACTTTTCTCTTTCCATCATAAAAATTACCATATGGCAAACACTGAATAACCCTGGGCTACATTATTCTTATTTTTTGTCTTTTGGGGTAAGTAATTACAAATGCATTTAAGCTAGATTCAAGTTAAAGCCTGGGAGTAGGCACAGGATGAAATTCAGAAATTTTGAGGAGACCCAGGAATGTTATATTTCTTGTCACAGCATACACAAAAATGGAATGCATTGAAAACTGCAATAACTCTTTCATCCATAATGAAAATAAGGCAGAAAACATCTCACCGTGAATTTCTTGTAAAGTTCATATGTGAGAAGAGGATTGGGTAGTTCCCTGAAGTATAACTTGCAGAGTGATCCAACACAGTGAATATCTTGTAGGTAAACTTCCCTAGTCAGGTCTGGGCATTGATCTGAGCCAAACTCTTGTCTGCAACAACAGAGAAGGGGACATAATGGGGCTGATGAACAGAATGAGATGGAAACAAAATTCATATCTTCATTTTACAAAAGAAAAAAGGTATTCTGAGTGGGTGACAAAAATCTGATAATATAATACTGTACCTAGCCATGTAAAACCTGTTCGACACCAAGGATCACCATGGAAACCTATCATAACCTTGAGAGTTATATGGATTCTGCATATTCTAGTTGCAGATACTGTAATTAGTATGGTTTAAATGCCATTTACATGAAGACAATCTAGTATAAGCCACAGTTGAGCTAGTGGCCATAATTTTGAAGCCTGTCCAAGGACAGATTCACAGAAAACTACAGTACACATACATACATACATACATACATACATACATACATACATGGAAATAAGACTTTCAACTTTTGTGCCCCACCACCACTGTGTAAAAAAGTGTTTGAAGTGGAATGAATACAAGCCCCAGAGAAAATATATATGTATGTAAGTAAGCACCATTCATATATTCATCCCTTGTCTCCAGTTGACAAATTGTACAACTAGACCTTAAGCTGTAAGGTATGTACATAAGCTTTGTTTTATTTTAGCTTCTTTATGTGGAGAAAGGATCAGGAATCTATAGCTTGGCACCAACAAATCCAAAAAAAAAATCTTGAAAAATAATTACATGAGTTTTAAAAAAATAGGATTTGGGCAATAAAGTAGATTTTGAAACACCTGAATATGATCAAGACTTCATTTGCAAATAGTGACAATCCTAATGTTTGAATATAATATCAACATGGCATTCGGCTTGAAGGACCACTTCTACCCATTTGTAATAACTGGCAGGATTGGCACACTCTAGGTGCCATTAAATTAAGCAATGTCATTTTAGGGGACCCAGGAGGCCTGTCTCCTCTGTGCTGCGCCTGTCCTCTGGAACACCATTCCTCTTGAGGTCCTTATGGCCACAGTCCCACTGACCTTAAGAGGCCATTAAAAGCCTGGCTCTTCCAACAAATATTGAGTTAAGTGTGATCCCACTGTATTTTATATGGATATTGTTGCTTCCCTGGTGCTGTTGTTTGTTATTAGTATTTTGTATTTTACTCTTTTATTATTTTTAGTTCTCATAAGCTGCCCCAGAATCATTGGTGGAGTAGGTAGCATTGGACATTGATTAAATAAATAACCTAAACTGGATTAAAATGTCTATGTACAGTTTAAATCACTTAGCTCTTGTTAAAAACTCCCATACAATGATCCTCAAGGTAGCTCTGAATTGGTTTTCTCGTTACCTTTCATAGCCTAATGCTATATTTTTGAGTAAAAATCTAGGTTCAGTCCACATATTTATAAAATTTTGTTATACAAAACACCTTCCTTATGAAAAACAAAGTGCACAAGAGGCTTAACATTGATTTATTTGTGTCACCTCAGTTTCTGAATGTTGGATGTCACACCAGAAAGCCGGTAGATTCCGTCCACAATTCCATGAGTCTCTATGAACTCTGCACAGCTCTTCAGTACTAGGGGAACTACCAGAAGGAAAGAAGGAATTAAACATTAATATTCGTTATTGATCATTACTGATGATGAATAAAGAATATACAATTGTGATCCAACTATTAATAAAAATAATTTCTAGATGAAAAACAGAATATACTCCCCTTTTCCCAACTATATGTATGGGGAGTAGAAACATATATATGGTTCTATTTTGTGAAATGAAACCTCTTAAAGATTTTTTTTTCTTGCCAACTTATCTCTAGACAGAGGTCTGGGGGGAAAAAACTGGAAATTTCATTATGATTTTATATATATATATATATATATATAATACAGAAATACTTAAGAAGTGGGGAAAAATTATCAGGTTTGGCAATACGCCACATTAAAAAAAGAAAACTAATGTGAAAGGATTGAAAAGCTCATTCAATCCAGGCAAACAGCAAACCCTCATACAAAGATAAAAATAAAGGATCAAAAGGAGCAGAAATAGCTATAGATAGTAGCTCAGATTCAGAAAATGAGACTGATTTTAGAAAACCTTTTTTATGTAAAAAAATGTGCATTCTGTCTCACCTCCTTTTTCTCAGCCTTTTCCTAAAATATAGTATTTTCCATGTCTATAGGACAGTGTTTCTCAAATATGGTGCAACTTTAAGAGGTGTGGACTTCAACTCCCAGAATTCCCAAGCCAGTCATGTACACACCTCTTAAAGTTGCCAAGTTTGAGGAACACTGCTATAGGATGTCATGGAGATCAAAGGCTTTTTAAAAAAAGAACTGGTATTGATGTTTGTTTTTAATTTTAACTTCTGTCTGCCTGTTTATCACAAGCAAAATTAGAGATGCCACATTCTTTACTGTTCAGCAGCTTGTAGCTATAGTTACAGCAAAATTAGGATAGCTAAAATAACTTCAATGAATCCATTTCTCATTATTATGTTAATAAACTTAGACATTTCATTTCTATACAATACACCAATCACACTCTCATAAGCAAACCAAGTTATACATAATATACATATTTGTAAAGAATGCTAAAAATAAGCTATGCTTGTATCATAATTTCTTGCCATATTTTCCTATTTTTCTAAAAAAAAAATACCCGGTTCGCAAGAAAGACTTGCTTCTAGATTTCTGAAGATTTATCTCTAATTATCTCACACTGAGGATAACAGGCATTTTTTTATTCTTAAAGAGCAAAGTAGACTATAGTTGTGTTTTACAGTAGCAGTCTCTAGCGCACTCTTCATTCTTTTCACTTTTGTTTCCAGACTTCCAGACTTCAGTGTATGAGGGGTGATAATATGATGAAATAGTTATTTAACTAATTATTTAACTGATGCTCTAGCTGAACAAATTGTCTTACAGGAAAAACTCAGGCCTAGCTTAAGTGCAATATATACTTCATTGGATGAATATGCATTACTTAAATAATTAGTTCATTAAATTAAAATTGTACTGATTAATACAATTGTGCAAGTTGCTGTAAATTACAGTTTTCCAGAAAATGTATCATAGCTATAGATGAATTCATAGATTTTCTCACAATAACAAAGATATTTACATTCATTTCAGATTGCTCTGCCATTTTCTTCCTATTACAAAAAACAGCAAAAATAAAATATTGAAATTTGGAAACTTTTAGCGACTTTAGCAGATTCTGGCCTTGCATGCACATGATGGTAACCTATGATTTGTCTAATCAAGATAATATTTGCATAATATACTTGCTGGCTCAGTACAAAAAACTAAGAGTTTCTGAGTAAACCACAACTGGCTGCATTTGCATAATACACTATTCCATAAGCCAAGGTTTTTAAACCACAATAGCCATGTTCATACAATATGCTACAAACAAGAAAATCACATTTTGACTTAGTGTTATGAGCATACCCAGCTATTAAACTATGAACTATACTTTAAACATTGTAATTCTCATAGCATGCTAAACTAAAACCAAACAAGCTGTCCTCTGGCTTAATGATTCATGTGAACCCACACTGCATCTTGCAGTACAGAGCTACTGTCATGGAGGATTTATCTGTACACCCACATAGATAGCATCTCAAAAAAAAAAGGTCCCTGCTGTTATACAGACCTGAAAATATGGCTTTTGATATGATATTGTATGAAATACAGCTTCTTCTTCCATGTGGTTTGTAAGATGTAGGTAAAAAGGATAATTTTCCACATCTTCAACATGCTAAATGAACCGTACCTCAAATGTAAAACCTCTGGACATTCAGAGACCTTGATTTGTTGGTTAATTGTAACTCATAGGCATCTATGCAGGGAAACAAGGGACACATCATAAAACCTGGGACTTACGAATTTCTGGCATATGTCAGGATGCAAGTACATAAGGGTGGGATTTGTGTCATGGCATCACCGTGAACATTTCATTATTTGACATACTGTAATCTCAGTTTGCTGTGGACTCCTGTCTAGCATCTTGAGATAAGATCTGATCTTCCTATTTCTGGCTTGAATGAACAAATGGTGGTAGCTCAACTTTGGAAAAGATAAGACAGTTAAAGATTAAGAGTTTAGAAATCTTGTAAAACATGTTCCATACAATGACAGGATATGTCTGCTCTCCATAAAACCGTCATCTGAATAATGTGGCTCTCAAGAAAGTAAAATATTTCAAATTTTGCAAGTTGAGAGTCATCATTTAATGGTGAACAGCTTTACAATGGGAATAAAAATTACATCTAATAGTGGAAACTATATTCTCGTATGAACAATATGCAAATGCAAGAAGAGGAAAAGACATGTTAAAATTGTCTGGATTTTCCAGGAGGAAATTAAATCCGCAGAAAAATCCTGTCCTGTTTACTCTTGTCCTTATGGCTATTTTTTTCCAAACTGGCCAGTGACACCTTTCTTATTCTGGTTCAAGCACCAGTTCACTTGGCTTTTGTGTTCCCCATCTCTTACTTCAGTCACTTGATTGGTAATGAAATTTGGCATTCAACCCTATATTTCCCACACCACTGTAACCAGCTCCTCCCCAGTTTTAAGCACATTATTTCCTGCTGTTCTCCCATCCTGAACTCTTCTATACTGAAAACAGCCTGCTTCATATGAGTAAAGTGTGGGTTTTGTGATGTCAAGAAATATCCACCAGAGACCCATTTCACTTGTGACCAAAAATTATAAGTCTTGACCTCAAGTTTCAAGAATTAAAGGGCTATGCATCAATTTCCTGCAGAGCTAAACTCCTCAATGAATTGACTGTATGAATGCAGAGGACAAAAATGTTCTTTTTCAGTAAAGCCAAAATCCAAAAGTAGTTTAGCTCTCTGACCTAGTACTAGCAGGAGCTGGGGTTAAGACAGTAATCATACCATACTAGGTACTGAGATAATTTTCTCCCAATTTGTTTGCAGCAGTTCTTAGTGGAAAGGAATCACAACATTAATCTAATTGCCCATATACAAGGGGGGGGGGGGGAGAGAGAGAGAGAGAGAGAGAGAAACTCTTATATATGTTGAACTTTTGCACTAAGTTCCTTTGTTTCCAACAGTATGTACGAAACTCCTGAAGAATGAATTAATTTTCTGTTCTTCATAGGGCAGTGGACAGGACTAAGAAAGAAGGAAAGTGTTATGTCTGAGGAAAAGATGGGCATGGCTGGATATCCCCATCTACTTACAGTACATCTATAATTGAAACCATACTGGAGGCTTAGGAGTTGGAAGTGGGAGTTGGTGTCAGGAAGGAAAAGGTCCTCATTTTACAACTACAATGGAATCCAGATGAGGAAGAAAGAGGGAATGTAAGCCCGCAGCATCAGTTGGGTGAAAAAAACCACTTGTAGTGAAAGTATTAATAGTTTTATTAATTAAAAGTATTAAAAGTTTTAAAAACTGGGGGGCAGCTTTAAAGTGATAGCAAGGAGTTATCAAGGAAATATTATCCAAGTGTATGTATCTAGAAAAAGCTCTACTTTCTGCTGAGTTATCCTGTTCACTTTCTGCTCTAGTAACTGTTTTGGAGATTTCATATGAGCTGCCTTCAAGTTTTCCAAGCATTGGGGTCTTCACATTATCTGATCTGGATAGTTAAGCATTATCTTCATTACTGGTGCTTCCAGTGGGCAGTCTAGTTTTACATCACCTAGTACTGAATGATTTGTTCTTCTAGTTGTCCAAGATAGTCTCAGCTTTCACAGCCGTATGTTACAAGCAGGAACACCATGACCTTCAAAGCATGCCCCTTTATTGTCAGTGATATGCTTGTGCACCTAATTCACCTAATGTCACTTCTTGCCTTGACTGATAGCATATGGAATGCATTCAAAAGAGAGGGTTCCCATACACAGGAGTACAAACAAAACGAGAAGCATTAAAATAGCTGCATCTTTTGAAAGGTTCAAAAGAAGATGCTACAGAAACATGTTCAACCACTTCATTTTGCTTTATTTGCAGGAAAGAACTGAACATGGAAGCCAAAAAGATGCCTTTCCTCTTGAAAGATCTCCCAGAATGGCTGCAGCCCCAGAGTCAGGGTGAGGCAAAAATGTCCTCAATAGGGAAATGGCCTGCACCTTAAAAACAAGATCAGCTTCACAACAGTATCACTTATACTTCAAACAGCCAGAGATAAGTCTGCTCAACTGCCAAACAGAGGCATGGAACTGATCCTGGAGTAGCACAAACACAGTGTTTTAGTGCCCCTTGTTTTGCAACATTTTTCCCCCCATTTTGGGAGATGGGGTTAAGTAACAGCAGTTTCATGAAGGAAATGCATTTCTTTTTCATCAGAAGCATTAACAAAACAAACCGCTTAACAAGTGACACCTATGCTTTCTTTGCTCTAAAACTGATCACAATTATCCTAATAAAAGTCCACTGTAAAAGTTATGATGCTGTCAACTTCATTGTTAATTATTTTATAACATTCCCACCACTGAATGTGCATTTTTTCATGGCAGCTTTACCCTGGGTGACCACCTGTATTGAACTGTCAACCATAACTCCAAGAACTCTTTCTCAGTCAGGTGCCAATAACTCAGACCCTA